TTCTCAGAATGATCCAAACTAGGCAAAAATCACACTAATCCGGGAGAAGAAAAACCTTCACGACCCCCTGCGCGGGTACCGACCCGCGTTATTCTGCGGGTGCGCGGATATACGCGGGGTGGGGGGGTTTGGGGGGGGGTGTATGGAGGCATCTGCGTGTTTACATAGACACCCCCCCCCTCTGTGGGGGCTCATAACCCCAAAAAGGTGATAATTGTGCTGGCGGAGGGGATTTGGGCAGGAAACTACACTAGGGTGGTAGGAAAAGTGGTGGGTATGGTCTAAACCATCCACATTGTTTCGGAGATTAATAATAAATATTAAAAAAAAAACCTCAAAAAACAACAACAAAAAAAGGAAAAATAAAGAACGCCCCCACACAACACACACACCCCCCCACCCCAACACATGGGGATCAGAGGGAGGCAGTCAGCTGGCGGTGCGGTTTAACACAGATCAAAGCCAGACTTTGCTAATATATAGATCCCTATATGAATTAATGCATGTTAATGCCCACCCCTCCCTACCGTGTATCCCTCCTCCCCCCCCCGGAAGGGCACGACAAAATTGTGAACGTTAGAATAATTACGACCCTGGCAAGACACAACAAATTATTCAAAGCCCAACCGGGGGGGAGAAAACAAAAAAAAAATAAAAAATTAATTGCAAAAAAGAAATATCCTGTCGCAACTGCTTTTTTTTTTTTTTGAAGTTTAAGTCTTTCTCCCTATCAAGAACTGGCTTTGCAAGGATTTCTGAACACCTTCATCTACAATGCTATGGCCTGGAGCGAAAATACAAATAAAACAAGCCATAATTCAGGAACTTCTGAGGAGGGGAACCTTTGACCCGCGCTGCGGACTTGGCATCCCTCAGATACACAATTATCCGCGCCCGGCTGCTCCGCTAATCCATACTGTACCTTTAATGCAAGGATATTTTGCCACATCTAAAGCGCCAGGTTGCAACATATATATCTATCAAAAGCCCGGGCCTGTTCTTGTTTGCCATATATATCAAAAAACACAGGCCTGTTCATATGTTGATTGCCACAAATCACACTCCATATTTACATATATCTTGCTATTTTACATGCATTATCTGCCCATTATGCATTAGGATCCTATTCAACTTCCAAACAATGCAATATGAAAGGGTCTTGCTGACACCCTAGCAGGGCTTTTTTTTTTTTTTTTTTTTTTCTTTTTTTTTTTTTTTTTTCTTCTTTTCCTTTATGCCCCATATGTCATACCCTTAAGGTTAGTAAAATATTTATCAGATATTTACGATAAGTGCACCTATAACTGCGGGTCACTGGACAATGCGGCCGGGGAAGCTGCGGCAGCCTGGGGAGGGAGCGGGGGGTGTTCGGAAATAAAAAAAAATTAACGTTTTCCCCCACATCTCCGAACACGCGGGGTTTTTTCTCCTGCCCGTAATATCTATCGAGCTTTAATTATTTTAGATGGTCTGGCGTGTGCCTTTCCTCGCCTTTTATTCCGCATCCTTAAAGGTGGCGGTGGGAAGGCTTAACTCTCCCTTCAAAGACGGATTAAAAAATATTAATAATGATGATAATGAAGGGATGCACAGCTCGGCGAGTTTAGGGAGTCCGGGGAGGTGCCATCCGTGGGAGAAATAGCGCAACCCGTGTTTACGGGAGGTGAATTTATTATTATTCCGTCTCAGAAAGTGGGCTAATGCGAAAATCCTGCGCGTGCCTCACTTTTTCTCTCTCTCTTTTTTTTTTTTTTTTTTTTTTGCAGTGTGTCAATAAGAGAAAGCTCTATATTTCTTCCTGCAGTCTATGGAAAAGAAATTATGTAAATAAATAACCATTACTGTTCAGCACACTCCAGCCTTCCTCCCCCCCTCCCCTTCTTTGTAGTGGCGGGGATGTATTTCATGTTACGCGTTCAGAAGAGTTTAGTGTTCAGAAAATATAGATGTAATCAGCTGGCATCTAACTAGAAATCAAAGTTCTTATTGCGCTACAAATAGATTTATTGGATTTATGTTATCTGGCCTGGTCCTTTTCCTGGAAACGTTAATTTATGAGGAGGAAAAGGTAGGTGCAGGAATTAATAACTCTAAAGTTTGGTGGGGAGGGGAAAAAAAAAAAAAAAAAAAAGGGGGAGGGAAAAAAACCTTGTTTCTGCCCCTCTTCTAGTGGTTTGCTCCATCTGGCACTGGAACAGAAAGGCCAACTGCCTGCAAAGTGTGTGGATGGAGATACAAGGTATGTGTGACCACTGGTTGTTTAATTTTAAGGTGATTGGACATTTGGGGTGTCTCTTAAAATGCATTTAGAAAAAAAGAAAAAAGCAGCAAGCAAGAAAAGGAGCAGGTTTTGGGTCACGACCCAGTCGTTGGACGGTGTCCAGAATTTTACGGATTAAATACATGCTATCCGGAGCCCGAACGTAAAAACCACAACAGGAGAAACCCATGCCAGCTTTAAATACTTAGTCCTTAGCGAGGGACTTAGGACAATATGCCTAAAAAATGTCTTTTCCATCAGTCAAAGTTTGTTTAAAAAGTTGGACGACTTTGAGAAAGGCTTCCCATGAATTCCCCTCTGGCTAAGCAATCAAAACAAGTTTAGTGAAAAGTGGAAATGTGCGGATGGGGGCAAGGGGTGGATTACTCCTGACAGCTGTATTCCCATTTTTTCTGAGGTGCCCCGTGCGATCCTGCTCCAAAATAATATTATTATTATTGCTCCCCTTCCCCAGCCCCGTTCACGCTCCGCTCCCTTGTGGGAAGGGGCTTCTCCCCTCCCAAAACTGGAGTTATTACGTCGTCTCCCTGATGTATTTGAGGAGGGGGGGTCTCCTCTGAAGCCACTGACCGCCTTTGTAGCCAAGGTCGATCGTTTGGGGAAGGTAAAGGGGGGAGTTGAGGGGAGGGAGGGGGAGGGAGGGTGAGAACAGAAAGAGAGAGAGGAAAAACCATCATAATAAAAAATAATAGAATAAAGTAAAATAAAATAAAATAAAATACCCCTCCCAAATTTGTTCCTGTCTGGGGCATTCGCCATCCCGGGGCCTTCGGGGGTCTCAAGGGCTGAGGCACCAGGCCAGGCCCCCCCTTGTCTGCTTGGGAAGAATCTCTCAAAGTTGGGTCTGATCAAAAAACGTTAATGATAATAATAACAGCTTAAAAAGAAAAAGGGGGGGAAATAAAGCCCAGAAGGGTCATCCCCGAGCATTCCCGAGGTCTGGAAGGGGTGGGAAGGGGAAAGGCTGTGAGCCTGGAAGGCAGGCCGGGGAGTTAAATCAGCCTGATGAACGCCGGCAGGTCCCTTTGTCACTTTTGAAAAACACGTTTCCATCAGGAAAAGACTTATTAAGATAAAAAACCGCATTAAAAACGTCGAGCCGGCTATTCGGTAAATCTTCCGTTTGTTTTAAAAAAGGTTCTGCACTTTTATCCTCCGCAAAAGAAATATTCCCCTCCAAGGCTGCATTTGCACTGGGAGGAAAAGGGGGCAGTCACAGTACACGTCTCCGACCACCCTGCATACAAATTAGATACTCCTGTCTAAATAAATTATCCGATGTTCAAATCGATATTAATACTGCATTTGCTACATTACAATATTGTGCAAATTTAGGAGTCATTTTAATACAATGTAAATACTATTTTTCATGCATGAAGGGCCAACAAATATTGATGGATTATAAACTGCTTACTGTTAAACAAGGCCTTTGAACGATTTGCCATCTTTGTTCAGGAATGCTTTTAATTTTGCCTCGGCCTAGTTTTAACCCAGATTTATCGGAGCTGTTTTAGTTACCGCTCACCGGGAGGACCGGTTTGGGAAAGGAGGGGAGAAACCGGGACAAGAGAGGAGCGAGGGGACAGGGGAGAGTGTGGGGGGAAAAGAAAAATAAAAAAAAGAAAAAGGAAAAAAAAAAGGAAAAACAAACAAGCAGAAAAAGTGGCAATTAGCCCCATCGTGGCGATAATTAGAATAATAATTAAAAAATGACACCGCCAGGCCTCTTATCTCGCCTTGTTTCCATTTCCTATATTTCTTCCACATCGCTCTCCTTTGATGTTTATAAATTTCTCCCTCGCAGGTTACAATAATAGAAGACGTATTATATTCTTATAGGCTACGACCAGAGCACTTCAAAGGCGACGCTAATGCACTTTCCCGCTAGTTAATTCGAACCATCTATCACAGGGAAAAATTGTTAACATGCATGTTTCCACCGCCTCCACTTAATTTGATATTTTTTTATATATATATATTAATGTTGGGTTTTTTGTTTTTTTTTTTTTTAATATGCTGCAGAAACAGCGAACAAAAGCAATGTAGTGACAGCCAGCACTGCTATTCACCTTTTGGATGACAGA